CCCCATGCCAAGACCAGTTTCCTAGGGGAAACACTGTATAGTGATTATAAAATGCTGTTTGCATGGTGTTCTTTCAAACTTAAGTCTTAATCAGGTTAATAGCAACATATTTCAATGGGTTAAAATGGTTTCACAAAAGTGGCTTTAAAATAACTGACAGACTTGGTATTTATATGTATTTTTTTCTACCCTGTGCAGCAAACCACAACTGTTACAGGGAGTGTACGCCATGGGATTCAATCGACCATCTAAAATCCAGGAAACTGCCTTACCCATGATGTTGGCTGAGCCGTGAGTAAAACTTGACCTTTAGCAAAGTGTTGCACAACAAAGGTTTATTGGCCCACCTTAAAGGTCATGTGTGAGAGGTGCCACTTCATACTAGTTCTCCATGATGTCAGAACCAAATGCTGTTACCGCATAGGTCTAAATCCTTAATGTTTCCTGAAGTCCACAGAATCTGATAGCCCAGTCTCAGTCAGGAACAGGAAAAACGGCTGCCTTTGTCCTGGCCATGCTTAGCCACGTGGACCCCAACAACAAATATCCTCAGGTTTGCATTCATTACTTCTCTCGCTGTATCAGAACTTTTAAAGCTGCAAGTTTAGTAATTGGTTTTCTGTTGTTTTCATCAGTGCCTGTGCGTGTCACCAACTTATGAACTGGCACTTCAGACTGGTAAGGTCATCGAGCAGATGGGCAAATATTATCCTGAAGTCCAGCTAGTCTACGCCATTCGAGGGAACAAATGTAAGGCTCGTTATCGATTGGTTCTGTTTCGTTGGTTTCATCCAATCCTGAGAACTTGTTTTCTGTTCTGATCCAGTGCAGCGGGGCATGAAGCTACAGGAGCAGATAGTCATCGGCACACCTGGTACCATGTTGGACTGGTGCAGCAAATTCAAGTTTATAGACCCTAAGAAGATCAAAGTGTTTGTGTTGGACGAGGCCGATGTCATGATCGCCACACAGGGTCACCAGGACCAGAGTATCAGAATCCAGAGGTGAGTTCAAACAAACTATTGTAATAAGTAAAATTTAAAAAAAATCACTGAAAAGTTTCACTAAATGTGTACTGTGCACTGTTCATGAGCATAAAMTACATAGGTTATTGCAGATATTTAATTTGGTCTCCACATCTTCACTGTGCAGGATGTTGCCTAAAAACTGCCAGATGCTGCTCTTCTCAGCCACGTTCGAAGAAACCGTTTGGAACTTTGCTCAGCGCATCGTGCCAGATCCTAACATCATTAAGCTGAAGAGAGAGGAGGAGACGCTGGACACCATCAAACAGTACTACGTGTTATGTAACTGCAAGGAGGAGAAGTTCCAGGCTCTCTGTAACATCTACGGAGCCATCACCATCGCTCAGGCTATGATTTTCTGCCACGTGAGTTTAATCGAGTGTTTTTTTTTAAATACACTCTTTGTATCAAAAACATTCACCCTCTATAATGATTTATTCTTAACCTGTACATTTATGTAGGTTTTTCTATCAGAACTTGATTTTAAGCATTAACATATTTGTCAGGGTGTTTATTACATTTATCCATTTAAAAAGTGCACACCTGCGTTATTTTCTTTGTAATCAAATTGATTCGTCGCTTTTTTTTTTTTCTCCTTTTTCTGTGATCCAGACAAGAAAAACTGCAGGTTGGCTCGCAGGAGAGCTGTCTAGAGAAAACCACCAGGTAGCGCTGCTGAGTGGAGAAATGCAGGTGGAGCAGAGGGCCGCCGTCATTGAACGCTTCAGAGATGGAAAAGAGAAAGTCCTGGTGACCACAAATGTTTGCGCTCGAGGTAATCAATCTTGCAGGGGTGTTAAATTATTTACTTCAAATACAAAGCTTAAAGGGCCAATATTATGTGTTTCTTAGGTATATATTTAAATACTATACCATAATAAAGTATCTATGTCACCTTTATCTGTTATTAAAATGCTGCTTTTATGTTTAAATAAAAAAATTAACTCATCTTCTCATCACTTCCTCTTCTAAACGCCTTGAAATTGGCCTCTGTCTCTTTAAGAACCACCTCCAGCTTCTGTTCCGTCT